TACGCATAGCGCATCTGATACCATGGCCAGCCGCCGCGATTTCTTGAGCCAGCCGGCTCCCGAAAACTACGTTGCCGGTCTCGGTCGAGGTGCTACGGGCTTCACGACGCGATCGGATTTGGGTCCTGCACGCGAAGGGCCCAGCGAAGACCAGATCAAGGAGGCTGTCGCCAAGCGCGCGGCGCAACTAGGCATCGGTGCCGATGGCAAAAAGCAAGAAGCGGATGATGACAACGACGACGATCGATTCAAAGACCCCGATAACGAGGTCGGCTTGTTCGCTGGCGGAGTGTACGACAAAGACGACGAGGAAGCCGACAGAATATGGAAAGAGGTAGATGAGAAGATGGCCAAGAGGCGACAGAAACAAAGAGAGGCGCGCGAGAAAGCCGAGCAAGAAGAATACGAGCGCAAAAACCCAAAGATCCAACAGCAGTTTGCCGACCTGAAGAGAGCATTGTCAACAGTATCGGACGAGGAATGGGCGAACCTGCCCGAGGTTGGAGATTTGACCGGAAAGAATAGAAGGAGCAAACAAATGCGACAGCAGCGGTTCTACGCCGTTCCCGATAGTGTTCTTGCAGGAGCCAGCGCCCAGGGAGAGCTCGGGACCACCATTTCCGATGACGGGGCAGCTTCGAGTTCAGAGGCGGCAGACGGTACCATGACGAACTTCGCCAAGATTGGTGCGGCGAGAGACAAGGTCCTCAAGTCTAAGCTTGAGCAGGCATCGCTGGATGGCACGGAGTCCTCAGTCGGTGGCAGCGCGACGAGCATCGACCCCAAGGGCTACATCACCAGTCTACAGAAGAGTGGCCTGACGGAAGCTCAGGCGCAAGTTGGTGACATCAACCGAGTGCGCGAGCTTTTGACCTCGGTCATCAAGACTAACCCGAATAATGCTCCGGGTTGGATTGCGGCAGCACGTTTGGAGGAGCTTGCAGGCAAGACTGTCGCGGCGCGCAACGTGATTGCACGTGGATGCACAAATTGCCCAAAAAGCGAGGACGTTTGGTTGGAGAACATCAGACTGAACGAAGGTCGCAACGCTAAAATTATCGCCGCGGATGCCATCAAGAAGAATGAACGATCGGTGCGACTCTGGGTTGAGGCGATGAGGCTGGAGAATGAACCCAGAGCCAAGAAGAGAGTCATCCGACTTGCTCTGGACCACATCCCAGAATCTGAGGCCCTCTGGAAGGAAGCGGTCAACTTGGAAGAAGATCCGGAAGATGCGCGGTTGCTGCTCGCCAAGGCAACTGAGCTTATACCCCTTTCCGTTGATCTTTGGTTGGCCTTGGCAAGACTGGAGAGCCCAGAGAACGCCCAAAAGGTCCTCAATAGGGCACGAAAAGCAGTCCCTACATCCCATGAGATTTGGATTGCTGCTGCCCGTCTGCAGGAGCAGCTCGGCACGGGACAGAAGGTCAATGTCATGAAGCGTGCCGTTGCAGTTCTCGTCAAGGAATCTGCCATGCCGAAGCGAGAGGAGTGGATCGGCGAGGCTGAGAAGTGCGAAGACGAGGGCGCTATAATCACCTGCGGAAACATCATCCAAGAAACCTTGGGCTACGGCTTGGACGAGGACGACGACCGCAAGGAAACCTGGATGGAAGACGCGAAAAGCAGCATCAACCGCGGCATGTACGAAACAGCCCGTGCCATCTACTCTTATGCCTTGCGTGTTTTCGTCAACAGCAAGACGCTCTGGATGGCCGCAGCCGACCTGGAAAGGAATCACGGAACCAAGGAGTCTCTCGCCCAGGTCTTGGAGAAGGCTGTCGAGGCCTGCCCCAAGAGTGAGGTGTTGTGGATGATGCTGGCCAAGGAGAAGTGGCAGGCTGGCGAGGTCGACAACGCCAGACTTGTTCTGGCGCGGGCTTTCAAGTCGAACCCCGACAACGAAGATATCTGGCTCGCTGCCGTTAAGCTCGAGGCCGAAAACGGAGAGACCGAGCGCGCGCGAACACTTCTGGAAGAAGCTCGCGAACAGGCCCCGACGGATCGTGTGTGGATGAAGAGTGTGGTGTTCGAAAGAGTGCTGGGCAACAGCGAGGCAGCATTGGACCTCGCCCAACGAGCCCTGCAATACTTCCCTGGTGCGGCAAAGTTATGGATGCTCAAGGGTCAAATCTACGAGGACCTTGGCAAGATTGGCCAGGCGCGGGAGTCGTACAGCACCGGCGTTAAGGCTGTTCCCAAGTCTATTCCCTTGTGGCTCCTGTACTCCCGCTTGGAAGAGAACGCTGGTCTTGTTGTCAAGGCTCGCAGTGTCCTTGATCGAGCCCGTCTGGCGGTTCCCAAATCGCCAGAGTTGTGGTGCGAGTCCGTCCGCATCGAGCGGCGGGCAGGCAACATCAACCAAGCCAAGTCTCTCATGGCTAAGGCCCTCCAAGAAGTCCCGAAGAGTGGCCTTTTGTGGAGCGAGCAAATCTGGCACTTGGAGCCACGAACACAGCGGAAACCGCGGTCTCTGGAGGCCATCAAGAAGGTGGACAACGACCCGATCCTCTTTGTTGCGGTCGCCCGGATTTTCTGGGGCGAGCGCAAGCTAGAGAAGGCCCAGAACTGGTTCGAGAAAGCGCTGGTTCTAGACAGCGACAACGGCGACAGCTGGGCATGGTACTACAAGTTCTTGCTCCAGCACGGTACAGACGAGAAACGAGCGGATGTCATCAACAAGTGCGTCCTCAACGAGCCTCGCCACGGCGAGTATTGGCAAGCAATCGCCAAGCATCCGCAGAATGCGAGAAAGGGAACCGAGGAAATCTTGAAGCTTGTGGCGGATCGCATAGAGAAATAAGGTGTGTATTATACTTGTATCGAATAATTCCCCCAATGGTCGGGACAGGTTTATGTCACCGAGATTAGTAGGCGCATATAGGACCTGACGACTAGAGCATGGGACAGCGAAAAATTGAGTCGAAAGTATTAGAATTGGTTCATGTCGCGAGACTCCTAACCCTGAGATAATCGAACGGCCCTATTGTAACAAGTGACCCGAAGGTCGTAACACAAAAGAAATCGTAAGTCGTAAGAGTGCTTATTTTCCGCCAAACCAGCTGGAGACGCCGCTCTTGGCCTTGGCAGCACCATCCTCGACCTTTTTGTCGAACTGGTCAATTTTCTTCAGGGCTTCAGCCTTAGCATCCTTAGCATAGGCCTCGGCGGTGCTCTTTGCAGAGGAGAACTGTTTGTCTGCCTCGGCGGCCTGCGAATAATGATGTTAGTATTGTCCTTCTGCCATCAGTTAATTTCGGAACACTTACGGCAGAGTCGATCTTGGCGCCGGCGCGGGCACCAGTATCGCCAAAGCCCTTCTGGGCATCTGGGGTGCGGCCGGGGATGTGTGACTTGATCTCGGCAGAAGCCTTGTGGACGTCGCCTGTTGTTTGCAATGGTTAGCCCCGTTACTCCTTGGCCATTTCGCATGAAGTAGAAGACTGCGGTAAACATACTCTCAAACTTCTTCTCGGCAGCGTTGGGGTTGCCGCCTGCGCTGTAGAGGTAGTAGCCGACACCACCGGCAGCAGTGAGACCGAGGAAGAGGGGGGCCTTGGACTTGGACATGGTAACTGTGATGCGTGGCGTGTATCGAGAGGATCTGGTTCAATGTGTTGGGGCTTTCTCGGCGATGTCAAGAGTATTGTCGTTGAGATTGTGAGCTGTAATTGAGGGAAGGGAGGGAAGAAGAGAGGAAACAGAAGCTTTCGCAGAGATGGATGGCACGATCTATTAGTACTACCGATTCACGGGCTAGGCCGGTATTGCTGCTGCCATTGTCTCATTAGTCGTCTGAGTATTTGCTGCGCGGTTACATCCTTCCCCCTCCTAGCGATCACACCAGTGACAGCTCGTCGCCTGGGCAAGGCACAAGTTCAAGCTCAGGAGCTCTAGTTTGGTGAAGGTGTGAGAGATACATGACGTAGAGCGGCATGAATGCGGGGAATCGAAGGTAGCTACCCCCAGCCGGTCCTGGCCGGGAGCTCCACTGGCGTTCGGGACGACATGCCGCACAGGCCCTCTTTTTCAGAAGGGACCAGGGAGTACTTTCATTGTCATCATGATCAGTGGCGGCCTAGGTAGCTGCAAGTACCTCGTCAACTGTATCACAATTGCAGAATGGCCTCCACTGGATCCCCAGTGTCACCTTGCAGCCATCAAAGCTCCGAGAATCACCTGTCGGCTTCTAAAGGGGGGTTTTGATTTTCTTTCAGAGCAATACCAGCTTCCGCAGCGGACGCTTTCACCGGCCGAACAGCTGGCTGCTCAAGTCTTTGGTTCGACGCAGTACCGAAGCACAACGCTTGACAGTCTGAGCTGGCTGGGTTCCGGCACGCAAGCTGACGCCAAGGGGGCTCGTTGCTTGGATAGAAAGCTGGAACATTACATCATCGACGGACCTCTGGGACGCGACACACCCTTTCCTACCCTTGTGGCCTGGACCGGCCTAGCTGGAGCTCGTGAACCGGCCTGAGCCAGAACCAGCCCAAGCCCAGATTCAGCTGGCCCAGACCTCCAACCAGCAAGCACCACCGACGCGCCGCATTGCTGCTCCTGCATCGTACTAGCCTTGTTCTGAGCCACATTTGGCCACTGCTAGGTGATCGTCGTCTTGGTCCAGGCCGCGCTAGGTCCGGACGCGCGAGGTCTCAATTGATTCCCTAAGCAGCCTCATCTACTGTTTTACCAGTCTTGCTCACCTCTCATCCTCTAGACGAGGTGTCTGGAGATAGTTCGACTCGCCTTCGATTCAACACAATGGTCGAGTGATTCGCACGGCCGCCTCTCCCTGTGTTCGAAACATTCCAGTCCAGCTCCCTATCGACTGCTCGCTCACTGGCGTTGCGAGAACCATCTCGAATCACGCCTAGCCTGTCTCCTGTTCCCCACACGAACCCCCGAAAAGGCTTCTTGCATTGAACGCTGCCTCTTTACCTTGGGGTCTTGTTCAGCCCCGGGCTTTCTAACCGCTGGCCCAGGCGGTTCTGGTCGTAGAGATGCCATCGTTCCGAAGTTCTCGTCGGGTAACCGGCTTGAAGGACAGCGACTACGACCACGAGATCAACTTAGTTAACCACGAAGACCGCGTTGCCTCGCCCAGTCTAGAAACCCCCAATGATGTGACCCGAGCGTCGACTGCGTCACGACTGCTTCGCGATGAAGACCAAGAAGAAGAAGAGCACAATCTGAGCAACGGAACGGACCGTGACGTGGACAGAAATGGGAATGACGAGGTCGCTTCATCTCGGGATGCCGCAAGTCAAGGACCGAGTCGCCTATCTCAAACCAGGAAGCGGCGGAGATCCCAGTCTTAACTGCCCAGACCACAGCGGGTACTGGAGCACCATCAATTGAGGTCGAAGGTATGCCACACCAGAGGTCTCTTTGTTAATTGTATCAAGAACTGATGATGTTTATGATTAGAACCTACGCCACACGAAGCCCCAATACCTATAAGAAATGCTAGCCATAGGGAGCGACCATCGACAGCAGAGCGAGAATCTGCAATAGACGTATTGTGGGAGAATGAGAGAGGCTGTTTTTGCTGTAGAGTTCCTCTGTTCTCTGGCAAGGCCTTGGGCAACCTCGATCCCTCTCCTTGGACAAACCAATTTCACAAGACGAGTCCAACGACCATTAAGACGGCCCAAGTTCCTGACCCCACGTGGGAGTGGGCATGGCCGGAGTGGAGGGTACATCGAGAAGAAGGCGTTCAAATGGACGAGTTTGGGTGGGAGTATTCGTTCATGTTCTCCAAAAAGTTCTCGTGGCATGGACCGAAATGGTGGAACTCTTTCGTGCGTAGGAGAGCCTGGGTTCGAAAGCGAGTCAAGAAGAAGCCCGAGGATGTCTCTGAAGACCCGCACATGCTTAACAACGACTACTTCACCGTCACGCCTGCAAATCACAGCCGCGCCTCTAGTGTTGGCAGCCGTCGGGAAAGCATCAGCAAGGCGAGCATGCAGACGAGCATAGCGGAGGAGAAACCCGACATCGAAGACGTGTGGACGCTGATGGCAGTCCTGCGGGCCGCGCGAATCGACCGAGAAAAGATCGAAGCCGTTGAGAACTATCTCGAGCATGCCAAAGACAACCTCGAACACTTGCAGGATGAAATGCACGATATTATGGGCATCTTCGTATTTCAAGCCTCAAGGAGATTGTTGCTCAGTCATTTGACCAAGATATATGATGAGCATGTCGCAACAGACGGAAAAGAAGACGAATCAGGGGAGCTAGAGGAGAGGAGGAAGCACCTTGAAGCCGCAATCAAGCATGCCGACGAGGAAGTGAAGAAGTTATCCTATTGGAGCGACGTGAAAGGACTCGCAGAGAATGGCGAAGCAACGCACGCTGTCGAAGAGGGCGAAGGATGGAACCAGAGCTGGCAAGGCGTAGATCAGAGCGGGCCCGCGCATGCGAATTCAGGGGCATTACCTGTGACGCCCAACAAGTAATGAGGACGCCAAGAGAGATGAAGAGCCATTCTTTTCTTGTATACCCGTCTCTATATAAATCTAGGTAGTTTATTTCGTATGAATTAGACTTGAAGCAGATTCATGGGTGCGACTGTGTGGATAACAGTACCTGCACTGTTTTTTTTTTCTTCTAGAACTCGCGCAAAAGGCCCGCGGCTGCGTATCGGCGGCCGGTGGCTCCTGCACAACGGGGCCGGGTTCAATCGGCGCGAGTGGAAATTTCCTCGTTCCCGCTGGCCTGCGACGTCGCTCTCGAGCCATTTTTCCAAATTTCAACGCGAATCGCCAGCCCAGCACACACCATGGGCCACTCATAGCAAATGTCCCTGGGAATCGCACAAGCATGGAGAGCCCGATTGTACCGCACCGGCGTCTCTGGAATATCTCTGATTCCCAGGGGTCCTCCAAGATGGTCTCGGGCGCCTATAGCTCAACCACTACCGCCCTCGTATCGATGGATCCACGCAGCTTCCGGAGCTGCAGTGAAGCCGAACCTCGACGAGACCATCCCTTCCTCTGACTCAAAGGAAGCGGGCGAAATCATCGATCGAAAGACTGCCGGTCCTGCTCCGGATGCGACTGAAGCAGCCTCAGTGGTTGAAGCTGGGACCCTTGCACCCAAAGGACGGACTGAAGAGAAATTCCAGACCGAGAGCGGCGATCGGGCTGCCGATATACCTGCCAGAGATGGGACAATATCAAAGCCGAACACTCGATACGGTCTGCCCTCGACTCGAGACTCGAACTCCCGGGAAGTCTTGCCCATTCGAAATGAACCCCTCAAGACAAGTCAAACTGGTATCTGGAGGAGGACTGCGGACCGACGTCATGGTCCCCTTGAGAACGGGCCGAAGGGTTTGGAACAGAAAGCAAGAGGGCGACGTCAACCCACGTCGCCAGTACAGCGGAAACACGAGTCGGTTCTTGTAGAGAGCCCTATCGGATACAAGTCTTCTCGCGAGACCATGTCCAGTCTCAATCGCCATCACCGGAGCCTGACAAGACAGTCACGGCTGGAGGCTATTCGAGAGATCAAGAAAGAACCTGTCGGGAATTGGCGCGCGATCCTGGAAGTTCTGAGGCGATGGACTCGGCCGATCAAGGGGCCTTGGCAAGAATGCGCGCGCAAAATCTCGGTATGCGAAGACGTTGCGATGGCGCTTCTTTACAACCCTGACCAAACCATTTGGGATATCCACGAGAGAACAAGATGTCATCTTCAGCTACAATGGGTCCCATGGAAGAAATCGAAGGGCGAAAAGTCATCTTCGGCGAGACCCATTTTATTCCTCTCGGGAGACGACAGGGGCATGGCAAACGCTATCGCCGAGGTGAGACGAGTTGCCGGTAACTTCAGCAGTGAAGTGGTCGTCACTAGCAGCAACCCGTCACAAACTCCTAGTTCTGAATCGATGCCCACGGTGTGGTCGAGTTTATACAAAGCCCAGCGGCCTTCGAGGATAAATACCTACACGCTGGAGACCCCGTTTGAGAAGATTCCCAAGCCAATCATGTGGACTCCTCAGACATTCGAGGCTTACGTTGCAGCCATTGCAAAAGCAAAACTATCTCCGCGTCTTGCGCAGCGCTTTTACGGCTCGGGCGTCGGAGCGATGACCGCGGCGTTTGATCTCCTCTGCAACACCTTCAAAGATGTTACCGCACGCCACGCCTTATCGACACGAGCCTTCAAAGTGGCTCTCCAGGCAGTAGAGGTTCACGGCCACTCTTATCGTCACCATGCCCGCGATCTTTTTAGCAGCATGTGCAACTTGAGGGTGCCTCTGGACACCGAAGTTTTCAATATACTCTTGAAGGGGACCATCATCGTCAAGGATTTGGGAAACTTTGACAGGGTGATTTCCCTGATGGTCGGGAATGGCTGCGCACCGAACGTTGACACCTGGTGCCTGGTACTTTCAATGATGCAAGACTGGCAAGTTCGCCGTCACATCATCAAGACTATGGATGTATGCGGGATGCTCGTCGAACCCGGCGGTCCTCAGCGGATCGCCAAGGAGCTCGCCGTCTGGGATGTCCGCCAGCACCAACCTGACTGGACAGGAATCAAAGACTTTCTCCAGGCTCAGGAGGGTAGGTACGGCAACAAATGGGCCACGCTGTCGGCTGTGAACAAGATCCTCACGGAAATCGGACGTATGGGCCATCTTGACGATGCTCTTGAATTCCTCGACACCATGCGCAATACCTGCGATATTCGGCCGAGCACATTGTCCATCAATATCCTCGTATACCACGCACGACTCCAGCGCAAACCCGAGGCAGCCATTTCCGCACTTCGCAGGGCCCACGAGTGGCAGATCCCGCTGGACGAGACGATATACCATGAGCTCTTCAAGCTTATGACGGCGCTCCGCAAACCCAACATGATGGGTATCGTCTGGCGATACGCCTCCCTTAACGGCACAACGTCCTGGGACATGCGACGGGACGTCTCTGAGCTGATGATGCGGACCGGCACTTTCCAATCAGGCGACGAGGTGGCTAAGGCCACGCTGGACCGGCCAGCCGTGACGGTGACCTTCCACGAAAAAAGCATGGTCAGGCACTTGGAGGCCACGTTGAATCCGCTCAAACGGGCCGCAAAAATCAGCAACCTGCTCTATGGTTGGAACGAAGGATGGGGGCCCGCTTTGCCACTCTATGAAATTCTTGAGAAGGCATGGGTGGCCGACAACAGGATCTACCACGAGATCAAAGAGGCCGACCGGCAAAAGAAGCAGTACCAGCAGCAGCAGCAGCAGCAGACTATGTCACCAAATTCTGGAGCCGGCCCAGCAACACTTCCAGATGCTGCCGCGCCTTCAGGCTCTCCCAATCCGGTAGATATTGGTGCACTGGCAGAACCCACATCACCGGCACCAGCCACGCCACCCACGATTCACAGGGTCACCAAGCGCGGCATCCCCATCGTTCTCGAAAGGAAGCCTACGGAGAAACGTGGTGAGGCAGAGCGCAGAACGCTCGAGATGACCGTTACGCATATTTCCACTCAGAAGCCAGTATTCATTCGCCCAGACAAGGCAGTATAGTTGTCCTGCAAAAGTTCTGTAGCATAGAAGAAGCCCGTGTACAAACAATTTGACCATTGGTCAGCCAGTGTATGAAGTAAGATTTGAAAAGGCACAAAGGTCAGTTGGACTTCGTTGTCATATTATATATACCCAGAGAATCAGACAAAAGTACAACCACATCTCTGTACTGTACCTACAAAAGTTGCATCCAATCGTCGTGGGCAGAGGCCGGTGAGACAGCTGAGTAATCTACATGCATGAGTGCCCAATCACTAGCACCGCTATCGCCCAGATTTTCAATCGTCCAGACATCACCGACTCCAAATGAAGAACAGCTTGAGGTGGTTTATGCAAATGATTTCATGAGGAAGACGTGCTATTCAGGTAGGCCACGAGAGGCCACTCGGCTACAGCACGCGCGTTGGGGGGGAGTCTCTGCCTCTCTTTGGGGAAAAAAACCGCGGCCCTCTCCTTGTCGCCGCAACTGCTCTCCTCCCCCGTCTTACACTTCTGACACAAAATAGAAAAGGCCCGGACACCCAACATGATGAAGAAAACAACAGGAAACATTCAGTCATCCAGCCCAGCCAAGCCGTATAGAGTCTCTCTTTCGTCCGGAACCGTATCTTCCGATCCGTTCAAGCCAGCGTGCTCATCCGTAGTATTCATGAGTGGTGGTAAAAAGGTTCGTCATCAATGGTGGAGGAGCTCACTTCTCCTTGCTCTCGGTGGTCTGCGCTTCCGTTGACACAGCGGGTGCAGCGGCTGGCTTTGACTCCTCCTTGGGCTTCTCCACGCCCGTCTTGCTCTCCTCCTCGGGCTTCTTGGCGGCCGACTCCTCCGCGTTGCTGTCCTTGCTCGTGGTCGAGGTGGCCTTGGAAACTTGGCTCTCGAGGTCCTTGTCCTCCTCTGCGTTGTCGAACATCTCGGTGTCGTCGGAATCGGTCAGGACCTCGGTGCCATCACCAAGGAAGATGATGCGGCCCTTGTAGCCACCAATGCCAAAGGGCTTGCCCTTGTTCTCCAGGTCAACGTCGTAGCCGCTGTCGCTGTCGTCGAAGTTGTGGTGAACTCCAGGGCCACGGAATTCAGCTAGTTGCACGGGATGGATCAGCTCTCTCCTCCTTGGAAAACGAATGTATGTGTGATGTGTAAGGGGCACGTAACAAATGGGTGGCGGATACGGAGGGTTCAATGGTTGTATTATGGGAGGGGATGAGAGCGACGATGCGACTCGATGCGAATGGATATGCTGGCGCGTCTCCAACCGTTCTTTTGCTTAGGATGAGGTGGATTCAGTCGTACCGTATTCGGGAGGGGCGCAAGGTCCGTCTCCAGCAGCAACACGCTTGGCAATCTCCTCGTACCACTCCTCCTTGGTCTTGCCGCGCAGAAGGCCGACAATGACCATGGTCATGTTATCGCAACCAACGCCACCAGTCTCCGAGTTGGACGCCAAGCAGTTGTCCATCATGTTCTCGCAGATCTTCTCCAGATCCTGCTTGGCCGCAATGCCACGTCGAACGAACTCGACAACCGCCTGAGACGACTGGCAATCCCAGATACCTGCAAATAATACATCAACGCTGTGTCATGTTGTCCATGTCCTGTTATTTGCTTACCGTCACAAGCAATGACCAGGAACTCGTCATCGTCAGTGATCTCGTGGACCTCGACGTCGGGGAAGGCGGTGACAATCTGGGCCTCGGGGGAGAGCTCGGCGCTCTTCTTGAATTCGAAGTCGCCAATGGCACGCGACAGGGCGAGGTTGCCGTTGACACGGCCAAAATCGACGAAACCGCCGGCGGCTGTGATACGGGATTTCTCGGCTTTTATTGGAATCATGTCAGTCACAATTCCTCCAAAGCCGCGAACACATAAACAACGACAGAAACTATCCACCTTCGAGTTGAGGCTTGTGGTCCTGGGACAAGGGCTTAGCTCGTCCCTTGATACCAAGGACACTTCTCGAATCGCCGGCGTTTGCCTAATTCCCGGTAAGGTTGGTAAGTGAAGCCAAAAGGATCGCCCGTCAGCGGGGACGTAAGCAAACTTACGACGTAGATCTTGTTGTCGGAGATCAAGCCAACACAAGCAGTGCAGCCAGAGACTTCCTCCTCGTACTTGGGATCTGATGCAGCCACCACGCATTAGCTCTTCTTCTTCCAATATTACGCCAATGAACCTGTACACAGCCCAAAAGAGTGTCCAGAAAGATTGGGAACGGTGTAGAGGTCGAGTATTACCGTTCAAGATCGCGCGGTCTGTGGCGAGGAAGCCGTCCTTCAACGCCTGTTCGTAGTTGCCCTTCTTGAAGGTCTCCTGCTTCTTGATGATCTCATGAATGTGCTCTCCAGCAAACAAGGCCACCTTGTCACCTCCGTGTCCATCAAAGACTCCAAAGAAGGAGAGCTTGGAGTCGTGCTTCTTAGCTTCGTCGCTGCCAGGGGCAAGAAGGTCGAGGACGGTGATGTGAGCGTCCTCCATGCTTATGCGCCAGCCCTGCATGGCCGACACACCGTAGAGAAGACGTTCATCTTCACCCTTGGCCGAGTTCTACAATTTTGGTGTTGAGGTCAGTTGAAAGATTCACATATAAAACTGGCAGGTACGTCATCATGGGTGAGGTAGTCGAACAAGATGAAGCCTGGGCCACGTATCCAGACCCCCGGGTCCCAGAGTTCCCCGCCCGCACAGGATATCACAATTGAAGAGCAGGAGGAGCGGGGTCGGAGGCTGTCATGGAAGAAGAGGAGAGCAGGTGCAGAGAAAGGCACTGTCGCAAAGGACGGAGACAAAGAACAGCAGGAGAGACCAGGAGCAAAGGCTCGGGTAGGCGCAGTGGTGGCAGATCCTGACATACCTTCTCGACAACGGGCTCGGAGAGAGTTTGACCCATGATGATGGATGCAATTTGTCGGCAGCGCAGCTACCGGGAGGAAGAGGGGAATTCGGTCGGGCAATTTGCTGGTGCTGGGCGGATCGGATCGCGAGGGAGCAGAATTTTCAGAGCCGTTCGTGGGTGCGCGAGGAAGGCTGAGAAAAAAACAAGAGGCGAGAGGCGAAGAGGGTGGTGCGGTGCGGTACGGTACGGTTGGTGGTGCGGTAGCAAAAGGTTCTAGATCGCGCACAATGGGCAGGAAGCGGGGTATCCGAATCGCAGGGAAATGGCAGGGGATGGTCGGCGATCCCCAAAAGGATTGTGGTGAGAGGAAGACGGCGTGATCGGTCGGACGGTATAGCTGTTTTGCGCGACGAGGTGAGGTTGCGCAGGAGAGGGAGAAAAGGTGAAGGGGAAAGGGGGAAAAAAGAAACCGAACTCAATCGTAGCTCGATGGGTGAGGTTGTGAGTAAGAAGAGTTTTCCCACAGGAAGAGAGTGGTGGTGACGGTCAGGTCGCGTGTGGTGGTGGCCTGGGGGAGTCGCTGTGCGATACGGAAGGCGCAGAAGCAACACACCTTACCTTGCGCACCTAGGCCAGGTATTCGCAGGTAACGTAGGTACATACCTAGGCAGGCACAGGCCACGGCGACCAACCAACCCAGCCCAGCCCGGCCTGGAGCCGCGGGCAGATGAGTGAGGTGCTTGCTGGCTCTAACCTAGGTAAGCGGGCACGCATGTACCCAGCAACCAGCAGCCCAAGCAATGGCAACCACCACGACTAAGGCACTCTGCCATGAGTCCATTGATACAGTACCTCCGGCCACGGCACCTCGGTAACCTGCCTACATTAGGTATTGCACAGCAGTTCATGAGCATCTGTCTTGGGCATCACTTGAAAATGCAGAGGGGAAAGAGTTGGCCTTGGTTGTCAACGTGCATATCGCCTCCACTGTGCTGCGCTGCTTGCACCAACATCACCCACAATGACAAGGAGTCACCCTTCGGCCGCCTCCCAACAGGTCGGCTGACTAGTCTACAGTTGCAGGGAGTCCACTCAGAGACAGACTGTCCAGTCAAGTCAACCCTGGGCTGAAGCAACTGGTCCTGGTAAAGTTGACAAGTTGTCAGTCTCTGGCGAAGGTGCTGAGACCAGAACGTTGAGGGGCGACTCTGTACTGCGCGTGCCTTTCCTCTCTCTCGCAGTCTCCGAGTCTCTCTCTCTAGTTTATGACTCCCACGCGACCCAGTCAGCACCTGGCAACCGCCAGCCAATGGTACACAGGAATGGAAGCACTGGAACAGCGGCATTTGAAGAGGTGCCATGCATCGTCATTCTCAAGCATTTCGCCATACAAGGTTTGGCTGCTACTGTTGAAGTCCGATGCGGAATTCCTGATGAATATGAGCGAGCTTTCCCACGGTTGCGTCATGTCGCGCTTCTTGGCCATACTGCATAGTACACAGGATGATACTTCCTATGCACCATACGTCTGCCAGGCCCGTTTTGTTCAGCGAGCTTTAGTACCTGGCGTTGCTTGCTGAACCTCTCCTCTCATCATCTCACTTCGAAAGCATCACCATAAGTAGGACCGTGTTTCCCGGGGACACAGACATCCGTCATCGTTTGATGAAGCCCGCCAGAGCCGTCTTACCCACCTGCCATATCGACTGCACGGTGCTCATGCAAGGCCCCCCTCTTCCTGCCCCTCTCCTCTGCCCGAGAAAGAAAAAAAATCCCCGTCTGCCCTCAGCACCTTTCCCCTCCCTTTCCCCTTTCCCGCCTCCGAGACCAAGCTACGTAGGGTCCCTGAAGCAGTACAGTTTGGCGGAAACAAAGGCCCAAGCTCTACCCTCTGCTCTATTTCTCAAATGCAACACCATGTTGCTCCGTGAATATGGCCCAACGAAGGCAGGCCAGCTGCTCTCCGCCCAACGTCCTAAACCCCGATGGGGCTTAACGGTGGGGGGTTCCTCTTTTTGGAGCGCGGCGGGCGCTAATCGTCGAAGCTGTGGCTGAGCCCCCCCGCCGGTGCAGTCGGACCACTCGGTGCAATGTGCGCTGACCGGGTACCCCCACAAGGCCAACTCTTGCCCTGTCCAGGATAAGGAGCACAGACTCGTTTTGTTAAATAAAGAAAAGCAGAAGAAAAAAAAAGGGGTCCGCGGGGTATCGTGCCCCAATATCCAGATTAGCTTTTGTGGCATCGTCAATTCAACATTACAGTCCTAGGTTCCCTGCCAAGGGTCGTCCATTCAGCTCATCACACCGTGTCCAACCCATTCTAGCATTACCATATCGCCCTCCATTACAGAATCCAATCACCATAATACACGGAGCCTTGCTTCGCTCGGTGGGTATAACAAATCGCAACGCTTCTAAACGAGGGTGGTGACAAAGTGTGCCTTTTACATGAATACGCGGTAATCGTCGCTGCTGTCCAGACGACTCCGAGGTCCTTTCTTCCCCACTGTGCCCGCCTCTGTCATCCAGTCGGAGTTGTCTGATTCAAGGCCTGAGGAGTATCGCGCAAGCCCCTTCCCTTTGCCCAGCACTTCGCTGCTCGCCCGAGACGATGCGTAGCCCGGCTGGGCGCCGGACGGACCCTGTTCCGCGGGAGAATTCCTGCTCCAGCGTCCCGTAGATATGGCATTGGAACTGGATGATCGTCGCCGAGACAACGACATCTGCTTTCCGGGTCGGCTTTCCCTGCCGATTCTTGGCCCGCTGGAGTCTTTCTTGACAATGCTGAGAGGTCGAGGAGACATGGAAGACTGGTTTCTCAGGAAAGGAGAGGTCTGGGCCAGCTCAGCGTAGGCGATGCCCAGAGAGTCCCTGGGTATTGTCTGCCAATTTTCCGTTCCCCTCGCTGAGGACTCCAGGGAGTCTGAGTCGCTGTCGAGGTTGTAGCGATTGCGGGACGGTACGACGGAGCGCCCGCCAAAGAAAGGGCTGGAGTCCGACTTCCTGCTGATAGGCCGACTCATCATGGACCCCGTCCACGACCCCGGCTGCGAATCTTGACGCCCCATTCTACCTCTTCCTGACCCAGATCGAGAGCTGCGAACGCTGTTCTGTGATCTGGAACTTAGCAAGGAGAATGTCCGCCTGGGCCTTTGAGCAGGAGAAAAGCGCCGGCCGTGGGTGGGATGCGATCCCAATGGTGTCGGCTGCTCAGGAATTGACGCCAGACTATCGGAGTGTGTAGCAGCCGAGAGTGGCGTTGACCTGTCGAGGACCAGTCTCGACGGCTCCCCCCATGGACTCGTGTAAGCCATGTCTGGTGTTGCCTGGATGCTGCTTACTTCGTCATGCATCGAAGGGATGGTGACGTCCAGGGCGCTGCGGAAAGAGTCGTCTCGCTCACCCTGGAGGAAGCCAGAGGAACCAGAAAGGACATCGCTCGGACCGTCGTATGTGCTTGTTGAGCCTTGATGCGCGTGTTGCGGTTGGAAGTAAACACCCTCGGTGAGCCATGACGACCCAAATGATGGTGATGTGGGCACACTCCTGTCGCTCCGAGGACTCCTCCAGTGTGACGAGTTGCGGTGAAGTGACTGGGAGATGCGGGAGCCGGTGATTGTTGAAAGCGTTCTCGACTGCCTCATCCTCGCCACTGCAGAGTTGAAGTATCCTCGGCTGCGACGGCTGTCTTCGGGCCTCTTGATGATCTCCGCAATGGATGGATTGGACGTTTCTCGGCTGTCTCTGCTACCATTCCAAACAAAACTGCCAGGTACGGGCTCCGATATCTGACTCTTCTTCTGCTCGTGCATGGAGTCGCGTTGTCTCCTTCGTCGGCAACAGATGATCAAGATCACTATGGCGAAAAGGAAAAGAATGGGAAGGAGCACCGCCAAGGCAATGAGCCCGGGATTCAACCCTTTTCTTGGATTTTCGCTTGCAGCGGACTTCGTAGGGCTGGCAGAAGGTGTCGGTTGCGCCGATGTGGTGGTCACAGCTGCCGACAAAATTTCAAGGTCTGCGGCAACGGTCTCGGACTCTCCTGAGCTCTTCGAGGTGGCCTTGACGAGAAGCTTGGTATTCTTCGGTGACGCAGACTTGGGGACTGTTCCTGTGATTTTGAGCCCATCAACCTCCATCCAATCTTGCGAGTTGCTGAGGCCCAGTTCTACATCGGCTGGAGTCCACAAATACGGCTCAACGTCAAATGAGAAGGCTTCCCCAGGCGTAACATCGAATTGGAGTGTTGTGTTTCGGAAGATTCGAGTCGTTATCAAGACAGATAACAAGATATCAAGAGTACCTTCGTAGACATCTCGAAACGTGAGCGTGGAATTCGAGGATTTTGCGTCGTCGGGAGGCGTGCCGTTCAGGATTAGCGTCGAATTATCGACCGAGAGCCAGCTCGGTAGGTTGGAAGTGGTGAGGTTCAGATCAGTCGGCGCAATAGATTTGCCGTCCAATTTGATGCTTTCGGCCAATGTTTCGTAAGATACTTCTTGCCCCGCCGTCGCGTTGATATTGACGATGGGAGTGTCAGTCGTCAATTTGTGCGCGCCAACGACGATAGAGAACACGACTGAAACGGCCGAAAATCCTACAATGTCAGACCCAACAAGACTAAAGTCAAACTTTTGAGGCGGCTGAACCAAAGACTCGAATGGCGGAGTCTTTCCAGTGAATGTCAGACTGCCGGAGTCGAACTTGATCCATGAAGGCAGAGGGCTGTTATTTGCTGAAGTGGCGTAGTAGTTAATGCCGTTTCCCGTGTAGGAGAACGTGTCCTTGGCGAATGAGAAGGAAAAGTCGGAAGCGGGAGAGGCTACGACTGCAGATGGCGAAGATGTGTCGCCAAGTTGCTGGATTTGTTCGGATAGGGGAATCTTAACTGTTGGTGCCGGGTTCCTGGTCACCACGAGAGTAGCCGTCATTGTCGCCGAGCCGGAGTCATCTGTCGCAATGATATCTACTGGAACCCCAACTACCTCCCCGGACGGAACATCGGCATCTTGAGGCGTTCCTGACAGACGCCCAGTGCTGCTGTCGATTGAAAGCCATTTTGGTGCATCTCTTAGGCTGTAAGAGATTTGTGACTGAGATGAAAAGGTTTGCGGTGAAAGAGTGTATGAAAATGGCTCGGATATCCTCGTCGCTGGTGGCAGCTGGGAATTGAATGGAAAGTAAACGACCGGAACTGCGCCTGTCCGCGCAGCTAGATGGAGTAGCAGTAGCACCCGCAGAATCCCAAATGAGGCCATGTCTGACGGGGTGAATGAAATGAGCGGCATCTGCGAGCCAAAGAAGCGGAAAACAACAACAACAAATTCAATGAGAGGAAGGCATGGCAGACGAAGGTTATCTCGGCAGCAGAGACGGGAGAAGCACAGGACGATACCAAGAGAGGATACACTTGGCGCGAATCATATTGCCATGTTTTCCTGTCTGCCGGTGCTTGATGCCTCCCTTCGCGCCAGTGGTCGCGCCCTCGCAAAGGAGTCGCGAGTGAGCGCGCATCGCGCACACTAACGTTTCCCGTTCCATGTGGTTTCCAAAGGGCACTCGCCCTGTCACCTACCGAACGGGGACGAGGACGAGTCTCGTTTCAGAGTGATGCGAGCTAAATCGCCATAATGGGAGGCTCAGGCGAGGAATATTCGATGTGTCCATTCCAGTGACAGGTTGAAGGCTTGGGAAGGGTGGTGAGAAAGACTTCATCTCGAAGGTCCGAGGGAGGCGGGTTGAGACATGTCCACTCGGGATGTTCACCTCCACGGTGAGTGGAATGCAACGCTGTGATCGCTGGCCCAGCTGAATTCGTTTTGGAAGGTTCCAATAGTATGTATTGGACATGACATTCATAAAGTCCAAGACGATACACGATCCGATGACGTCCAGTGTCACGGAGAAACGACGTGAAGTTGTCGACTGTAGAGTTATGTAAGCTGAGGAATGGCTCCTCAGTAGGAAGCTCCAGTCCAGTATCCCTAACGTGGTTGGGGTAAAAGCGCAGGGTAACTTTGCTATTCTCGCAGGGTGCGGCTTTCCAGCCAATCAGAGCCTTTTAATGGTAGTCGTCCCTTCCTAATACTGCCTCTCTCGCTACAGTGACCCTCTGCAGTCACTGCCCGCTAAGTCTACCGCCCTCTACGCAGCCCACACGGGCTGGCCTCTGCGTTGCACTTGCCCTCTGTGACTGCCCTCTACGCTTGGTTTTGTGACTACATTTTGCGCCTGTCTTCTGCGCTGCCTTCTGCTGTATGAGTCAAACTGAATAAATGGGCCCAGAAGCAGATTCAAAGCCTTTGGTTGGCTTTCACCCCTACCAAAGCCTGTGACTAATCTTTTAAACTCTACTTCCACGTGACTGCGCCGTCAGAACTCCCGCCCACCTCACTGTGAGAAAAAACTGCCCCTCCGCCGACGATCGGCGCACAGCAGAATTCCCTTCCGGTGACACATCTTTCAAGTCAACACTTTCGCTCTTACAATTGTGTTCTACCGGCCCATCACAACAAATTTTGCTGTCTTTCTGCCGCGATGGGGCTTCCTGATCCCACCATTGACCTTGACTGGGGCGGCTACGTTGGCGCCATCCACGAGATATTCCGCAAGAATGCTTTGAAGAATCCTGATGCGCCGTGCGTCACGGAAACAGCCTCCTCAACCACAATCGAGAGGAGATTCACCTACAAGCAGATTTACGAGGCTTCCAACATTTTGGCTAACCAGCTTCATGAAGCTGGCATCACCAATGGCGATGTCGTGATGATCTTTGCTTCTCGTTGCGTTGAACTCGTCATCGCCTTCATGGGAACCCTGGCTGCTGGTGCCACCGTGACCGTCCTAGACCCCGCATACCCCCCAGCGAGACAACAGATCTATCTCGAGGTCTCGCAGCCCAAGGCCCTGATCACGATTGGCCGAGCCAGGGACGATCATGGTGATTTTGCGCCGCTTGTTCAGAAGTACATGGACGAGGAACTATCTCTCAAGATCCAAGTACCCGAGCTACGGATGAGCGATGATGGCCGTCTTACCGGTGGCGAGATTGACGGGAAGCAAGTCTTTACCGATACTGAAAGCAAAGCACGAGCGCCCCCGGATGTTCTGGTAGGGCCCGACTCGACAAGTATCCTGAGCTTTACCAGTGGCACAACATCAAGACCCAAGTCGGACCCCCCGCAACTACTAAGCTTAGACAAAGCTGACTATTCATAGGGGCGTGTTGGGCCGTCATTACAGCTTAGCCAAGTACTTCCCATGGATGGCTAAAACGTTCAACTGGACCTCGGACACAAAGTTCGCTTGTCTGAGGTAGAACCCCATCAAAGATGATGCCCGTCACAGCTCTGCTAACCAATTACAGTGGTATAAGCCATGATCCTATCCAGCGAGACATTTTCAGTCCGCTTTTCATGGGTGGAGAGCTGATTTGCCCTGCTCGAGAGAACATCGCCCACGAAAGGTTGGCTGAGTGGTTCCGTGATCACAAACCCAACGCGGTTCATTTGACACCCGCGATGGGTCAAATCTTGTGCGGCGGTGCTAAGGCAGAGTTCCCTTCATTGAAGTGGGTTCTCTACGTTGGTGATATTTTGACCAAGAAGGATTGCGCTTCGCTCCGCAAGCTGGCACCCAACGCGGAGATCTGTGCTGCCTATGGTACCACTGAGACGAGCCGCAGCGTGTCGTACTATCACATCAAGAGCCGTGCTGAAGATCCAGATGCGTTGGATAGATTGGGCGATATTATTCCTGCTGGAAGGGGCATTGAGAATGTCCAGCTTCTCGTAGTCAACCGCGAGGATCCTACCAAGCTTTGTGGCGTTGGAGAGGTTGGTGAGATCATGCTGAGAGCAGCAGGCTTGGCTGAGATAAGTCTCCCCCTTCCATATTAGAGTCCTGCTAACCTCCGGCTGCACGGATATTTGGATGACGAAGAGAAAACCAAGGAGAAGTTCCTCCAGAACTGGTTTGTCGACAACCAGAAATGGGTTGATGCCGATAACAAAGTCGCCGATCACGTCAAAGAGCCCTGGAGAAAGTACTACAAGGGCCCTCGAGACAGAATTTACAGGAGCGGCGACTTGGGGTACTTCTTAGACGATTCCGGCAATGCCGCCATCATAGGCAGAGCTGATGATCAAGTTAAAATTCGTGGCTTCCGCATCGAGCTTTCTGAGATCGACAGCAACTTGAGGGGACACGCCATCGTTCGCGAGTGCAAGACGCTGCTTCGAAGAGACCGGAACGAAGAGCCAACATTGGTCAGCTACATTGTGCCTGAACAGCAAGAATGGCTCAAATGGCTTGCAGAGCGCAGCCTGGACGACACCAAGGACGAAGGCACTCAGATCGGACCCGTCTTCGTATACTCCAAGCGCTACCGGCCGTTGCAGACAGAGATTCGGGATCATCTCAAATCTCGATTGCCAGTTCAGGCTATCCCGACTTATTTTATCTTCTTGGACAAGATGCCTTTGAACCCGAACGGCAAGGTTGACAGCCCAAACCTACCGTTCCCGGACGCGGCCCTGATTTCGCAAGAGACTTCAGAGGAGGATCTGAAGAGATGGGAAACGCTTAGCAGCACCGAAAAGGAACTGGCGGAGCAGTGGGCAACATTGATCAGTGGTCTGAATGCCAGGACTTTGCAGCCTGAGTCTGATTTCTTTGAAAGTGGTGGGCACAGTCTGCTGGCCCAGCAGCTCCTTCTCAACATCCGCAAGCAACTGGGGGTCAACATGACCATCAGCTCACTGTACTCAAACTCATCCCTCGGGGCTCTCAGCAAGCAGATTGACCGCCAGCGTGACGGCAAGAACGATTCGGACGCGGCAGAGGAAACCGAGGCTGCATATGCCGAGTCACTCGACAAGCTGCTCGGTAGTCTCGACGCTAAGTACCAGGCAGCGGACGCCGCGGCACTCTCGCCGGAAGGCAAGACAACCGTGTTTGTCACCGGCGCCACAGGCTTTTTGGGCTCCTACATTGTTAAGGACCTGCTCGCGCGTGAGAGTATAAATGTGATTGCTCATGTCCGCGGAACAAAGAGCGTCGCCGCTGCCCTCGAGCGGCTTCAAAGATCACTTCGCGGATACGGCGTATGGCAGGATTCTTGGGCCACTAGGCTTAGTGCAGTCATCGGTGACCTGGCACAGCCGCGTCTTGGACTCGATGACGATACGTGGAAGATGCTTGGCGACACTGTCGATGTGATTATTCATAACGGTGCCCTCGTTCACTGGGTAAAGCAGTATGAGCATCTCGAGCGCAGCAATGTTCTGTCAACACTCGATGCCCTGCGGCTGTGTAACCAGGGAAAGCCTAAGCTCTTCTCATTCGTCAGCTCGACAAGCGTTCTGGATACGGATCACTATCTGGATTTATCACACGAACAGACCAAGACTGGACAAGGCGCTGTCATGGAGGCTGATGACATGATGGGCAGTCGCACCGGTCTCGGCACCGGATACGGCCAATCCAAATGGGTAAGTAGCCTCCACAGACACTCTCTACGCGAGTAACATCCATTCTAACGCACCACAGGTCTCTGAACAGCTCGTCCGTGAGGCTGGCAGACGCGGCCTCCTTGGATCGATCATCCGACCTGGCTACATTCTTGGAGATGCTGCTACTGGTGTCTGCAATACCGACGACTTTCTTCTCCGCATGCTCAAGGGCTGCATCCAACTTTCCAGCCGTCCGCATATCATCAACACGATCAATGCTGTGCCTGTAGGCCACGTCTCTACCGTGGTTGTCGCAGCTTCCCTGAATCCCATCCCAGCTGAAACTGCGAATAGCATCCGCAGCAGCAGCGATGACGTTGGTGTCCACGTTATCCATGTCACTGCCCATCCTCGCCTACGCATGAACGAGTATCTTTCTACCTTGAGCTTTTATGGCTATGATGTTCCCGAGGTGGATTACGACAACTGGAAGGCCCAACTCGAGACCTTTGTCTCGGCAGGTCCCACCCAGAAAGACGAGCAACAGAGCGCCCTGATGCCTCTTTTCCACATGGCAACAAATGACCTCCCTAAAGACACCCGCGCGCCGGAGCTTGATGATCGCAATGCTGTCGCTGTTCTCAAGGCCGATGCGGACCGGTGGACAGGTATTGACGAGAGTGCGGGAGATGGCATTAGTAGGGAATCGGTTGGCCGTTTCTTGAGATACCTCGTCGAAACCAATTTTTTGCCGCATCCGACTGGACGGGGCAGGGAATTGCCGGCTATCAAAGATGGTGTCGTAGAGGCGCAAGCGAAATGGGGCGTTGGAGGGCGTGGTGGTGCAGCGTGATGAGAGGCAGAGAGAACAGAACTCAAAATCTAGAAAGTGAGGACATGTTCCAATGGATGGAAATGCCTAGTTAAAGGAATAGACCTTAAAGAGAACTTGCACCTGCGTCACATGCTGCCAATACCCAGTGTTTGAGTCCTCGAGGATTTTATAGTCGTGCACCTGTTTCCTGGATGAGCACCAGCTGGACCACATCCTATAGGTACCGATGCCTAGATCAGCTTGCTAAGTTCTGGCCTACAGTGTGTACCCCGTTTAAGTAACTGTGCAATGCTGCTTACCTTAGGTTTGAAATGACACCAGACCGCCCTCAAACTTGAAGTAAAGCAGCGGCAGCTCAGGCTCCACGCTAGAAACAAACTTGGCGGCCGGATGTGACTACCTTACTGAGGTATGCACTGGACCTGAAGTAAGGCAAGAAGCTCTTTCCACATCTTTCTCGGACGACTAGAGAAGGTGATGACTCGATGGGAAGTGTGGAACTGGCAAGCAGAACCCGCCGCTGAGGACGGGACACTACCTACACTCAGGGACCAATGTGGAAGTCGGGGCAACCCCGCTTGAGGCAAACGCACCTCCCCTTATCGGAAAGTCTAGATTGTCGTCGACCTCAGGGGGAAAAAAAAAAAAAAAAAGCCCAACAAAGACCAGCGATACCGCTCTTTTCTGCCTCTCGGATCTGCAAACGCCCAAAAGCACCACTTGCCTTGAGAGAATTAAACGCGCTCTCAGCCTGCTCTACTTAGAACTTTGCCTCCAGACGCACTCGACTTACCGTTGTATCATCCGTACTTACCCAGAAACAAACAATAGCATTATGAGAATTCTCAACAACCCTCTCATTCCAGAACAGATGGACTCCGCCGAGAGGTCTCCCTCGCCCGAGTTCTCGCCCTTGGCGATCGGCGAAGATCTCACCCCGCTACCCGCCTACAAGGCCGCACAAACCAACTCCTTCGACATCGCCGGTCTGCTGTCCACTCCCCTCAAGCTCCACGAGGACCTCGCTTCGGGATGCGGAGGTCAAACCTGGCCCGCGGGCATGGTGTTGGCAAAGCACATGCTGCGTTATCACCGGGAAGCTCTGACCGGAGCCAGAATGTTGGTGACTCGGCCCCATTGCGCTCGCCACGTTTCCTGAGCTGCTTCTTCCCGAGCTCACGCTCGCCTGCACTTTGCTGCAAATGCTGCTGCACTTGACTTGCCGGAACCTAACCGCATGCTAATGCGAGAGAACATGTCGTGGAAAGAAGTTGAGCTGACTCGTGGCTTTTTGGAGCAAATAGACTAGAGCTAGGTGCCGGCGGCGGACTCGTTGGTTTGGCTGTTGCTCTAGGTTGTGACCTGCAGCAAACGCCGCTGTATCTCACAGACCAAGACGAAATGTTCGAGCTCATGGGCAGGAACACCAAGCTGAATGGTCTTGATGGCAAGGTTAAGCCCATGATCCTGAATTGGTAAGTAATTTTCATTTAACTCCGATTCCAGCCGTGCGCATCCTTCTCCCAGACCATCAGCTCCAGACTTGAGACAGTTGAGTGGTGTCTGCCATCGCTGAGGAGTTGCGCGTGCGCGGGAATCAGCAGCGCACCAACGAGTAATGAAACCAAAGACTTACAACTTGTCCCGGCTCATTCTGCTACTGCGCTGCGCTGCAATGCACAAGTCCAAGCACAAGCAGGCTGCGCATGCACTCCGGCTGATGAACGGATGACTGATGAACGACACAGGGGCGAACCGTTATCACAAGAAGTCGTCGACTTCAAGCCGAATGTCATACTCGCAGCCGACTGCGTGTACTTTGAGCCCGCCTTCCCGCTTCTATTGGAGACATTGACAAATTTGCTGACGCTGGAGCCCGACGCGACGATCTACTTCTGTTTCAAGAAGAGGAGACGCGCCGACATGCAGTTTCTCAAGAAGGCACAGAAGGCGTTCCAAGTGACAGAAATCGTGGATGATGATCGCGCCATATTCAGCAGAGAAGGGCTGTTCCTGTACACCTTCGCCAGCAAGAAGCCGACCGCCAATGGTGCTCGACAGTAGTGAGCATTGACTGGCATCCTGTCATTGGCAGCCTGTTCACTTGTTGGGAAAGACAGCATCAAGCGCGTGTTTCGCAAAGCTCTCGGGAGTCGGGATCTGAAAGCCTCGACTCGGGCCCAGGGATTTGCGCAGTGCGCCATGTCAAACAATGACTCGAAGTCGAAAGGCTACTTGACCTTGACAACTTCCGGTGTCACTTGCGCGCCAGAGTAGGTGTGCGGAGTTCCATGAGTTTGTCCCTTGGCTCAAGGACAAGGACGAGATGAAAGATGATTGTTGTCTCCTTGCTTGCCCCGTTCGAGGATTTCAACTCACAGCCCAAGGAGGGGCGATGTCGTGTACCGCTGGGTGTCGTGGACATCTCTGAGAGGTGGCTGCACCGCGTCAGCTGACAGTTGATGCAGGAAGCGCCAGTCATCAACAGCGTGGAAGAGAGGCAAGAATAGACGAATAGAGAATAGAGAGATAGAGGCTCATGTCAATCAAAAGAAGCTTTCCAGAGCACCACATATCGTTGGATCCAACATGCATTTGATCTTCATGAGTGGTGGAGAACTGTGCGGGTGGGCATACAAGATCTGGTCCCCAGAGTTCAGAGTTCAGATTTCAGACTCCGGACGATCATTTGATGGGACGGTTGGCTTTGCCATAGCACAACTACGAGTGGACGAGAAAGCTGTGAGTAAAGGCCGGACGACGGCTCGAAGGAAAGCGAAATCAAGACTAGCCCGAGAATAGGTCTCAGGAGTGAGGAAGTAAGAACGGTCACCGAACAGGTGAGGGGTTTTCTGTGCCTTACCCTTCACACAACTGCAGGCTGCTGCAAGCCATTAACGAATCAAGCATCAAGCCGCGGGTGGCCGAATGAAGATGCAATGCGGGAAAATCTCTGCGTGGTCGGCGCCGCGGTACGACGCCCACCCAACGTGTCAGCGTGTCAGCGGTGTCCACCAAACCGCTGTAGGTTTGCAGGCACGAACAAGGAGCTATTAACTGCAGCGCAGAGGCTAGCCATTCGAATTTTTAGAAGGGAGAAGGTGATGTGGCATTGCCTGAATTGCCTGATCATCCGGGATCAGAGCCGGACAGGGGGGAAATGGGCTGTGAGGGTTGCGCCGGGCGGGGGCTTTCTACCGAGGCGTCGCTGTGATTGGCGCGTACCTTACATCTGCAAGGAACCCGTCGCCCAAGCCCGTTGTCTGGACCAGCTCGAGCGTTCGCCTTGGTCGCTTGAGGGCTGCCAGTCTGCTTCCTTCGTTGCATCGCCGGTTGATTTTGTTTTTGGCTTTCATTTTTTTCCCCTTCCGTGCCTTGGTCAGGGTTGAGCAATCGTTACTTGGCGTCAGGCACAGGTGAGCGGGGGACCTGACCTGGTGCCAACACCCTTGAAAGGTCCCCCTCGACACTGACCATTGAGTTCTGAATGACACTGACTTCTCCTGCGCGGCACGGTAAGGTAACATCCCAAGTTGTCGACCAGTGTTTCTTTTTTCACGTTTCTCCTGGTGCGTCATCTGTCCAATGTTGCATCGCACATTACAGCCGCCATGGTGCCGACATGCTTAACCACGGTCTGCTGGGATCCTTCTCGCAGCGCGGCAACGGTTGCGCCCTCTTCCATGGGAGACAATTAACTAACACCGAGCCAGAATGCTGGCGCAGCAGGCGCAGGCCTCCCGCGGCACGGCACCTCACAATAAGGGAAGGTACTGTGTGTGCGCAAGGCATGGCGGTTGGCAGGCATGTACCCGTCCTGGGCACCCCGGTGCCACCGGATGATCGTCATTCTTTTGTTTCCAGGATTCCTAGACGATGCGAGGGGGGGAGAAACGGTGTTCGGACCCTGGACCACCTACGTGCTACCCCCTGGGCTGGGTCTCTTGGGGCTGGGCTGGCCGCCAGGGCCTGAAGGGAAAAAAGCTGGAGCGCCCTTCCCAGTTTCCGCGTGTTTCAAGCACCAGCATCTCTCCGGCGGTTCATCCAATCATCAAGTACGGGTGGGAAGAAACAAGATGACATTATGACAGACAACGACAAGCTTGGAATGAGATGGGAGTCCGGGAGACGAAGGCAAGAAGGCATGGAAACGGGACGATGGAACGAGGCAAGAGACGCGCAGCCCGGCCCAGTTCCAGTCCTGGAGCCGTGCCGTCAACCGCGCTGCAGCGGCAAATCCAAGAGCAATTGGCAACGACGGAGCATGCGCAGACCTTGCGGTTACGCATGTGATGGGCCAGCATAGCGAGTCAATTGCGCGATGGAAGCTCTCCAGACCCCGGCTTCTTTTTGCCGTTCTTACGTTGGCAGAATACGTTACGCTGCCCCAGTCCGATCCATCCACCACTTCCCGATATCCAATACTCTGTATTCTCGACGGATGTGCGGCTCGAGTTCAAACAACCAACACTCTCTCCCTGACTCCCTGTACGCGTTGCTGGCAGGTTCAATGGTTGGAGTGAAAGGGCTGTCAAGTTGCGTTTCCTCGGCATCCATTTGGCTAATGTTTTCTCGGGTTGCGGTTGTCGTCCCTGGTTGCCTCAGCCCAAGTCGGTTTCGGGTTGGTCTGGCTGGCAAACATCCCATCTTCAGCATCCCAAGCGGAGGCGTTCAAGCCCTAGAGAGCCAAGATGGGCCATGCCAGGACTGCGAACACCAAGAGGCATCCTCGCCTCGTCTGCTTGCCTGATCTCGTGGCGTGCTTGGTGCCAGCGATGCCAGTCTGGAGCGAACGGGCTCGTGCTAGTGCCATCCAACGGGTCGTTCACGCCCCCTGGACTTGCTTCTTTCGTGCTGGTACGTTCTTTTTTCGGACCTCCAGCATCCAACGGTCCAGTGACGAGAGGTCGTCGAGGCAGACAAACTGCCTCTCCAAGTCGGTTTAGGGGGGTTGCAGGGACGGTTACCACTCAAGAATCCTGGTTTCCACGCCATGACAAGGCCCCGCTTTTGCTTTTTATTCTCTCGGGGCTTTTGCGAATTCTGTTGTCACTACCGCTAAGGCAGGCGGTGGCAGTGAGCGAGCGATAGAGAGTGCGCAGCAACCGCCCCGGAACCTGCAGCCCAGCCAAACAACACGACCAGACAGGCCTCGAGGGATCATCAGGTACTCCCGCATACTGCTGTGCTAGCGGAGGTACCTGCCAATGGAGTCTGTCCTCCACCCTCCGTCAGCATTTTCAGCACGCTCAGCACCTGCAGGCCTCCTCTCCTCCACTCCACACACCACATCCACTCGACTTCACAGGCTCACACCCCCGTTCCGCCCCTGGCCCCCTAACCCAGTCTCGCCAGTCCCGAACAGGCTCACTTTCGTGTTGTGTTCCCATCGTTTGGTACCTCGCTTGGTCCACGAAAGTGTTCTGGGATACAAATCCCAGCCGGCCTACGCTTCCCAGATCGCTCATCTGGATCTCTCTCTTTTTTCCTCTTTCCTCTCTATCCAACAACGCTCCCTCTTGTTCGACCAAAACCAATTCATTCCTTTCCTTGGACCCCCTTGAGCAGTGCTCGACCGACCTTCAGTCCAACAAACTACCCAACCAATTCATTCCTTCACAGACTGTTTCGAGGACTCGTCCAAACATTATCATCCGGTCTCCAGCTGTCAGCAAAAGAGTGTTCAGTGAACCGCTCCTTTCATCCCATCTTTCCAGCCTACCAGGAACCTCAGTACATACCAAAGCGTGCTCCGAGCTTCCTGCCGTCAACCTTGAACCTGCCAAGCTTCACACGCTCCCGCAAGCCATTCCTTGATCGAGAGGCTCAGCCCATTGCATTCATTTCGCTTCCAGCTCATCCTTCACGGAAGATCATCACTCAAGAGACCGTATAAGTCTCCTGACCAACAACACCAAACACCAACATCACAATTTACCAAACACCACGTTCACCATGAAGACCTCTGCCATCTTCTGCGCCGCCCTGGCTGCCGCCGCCGTTGCCCAGCCCCACCAGCACGGAAACAAGAAGCGCCATGTCCACGGCAAGCACCAGAAGCGCGCGCTCGTCACTGAGTGGGTTACCGAGACCGCCTACGTGACCGAGTGGGTTGATGCCACCGAGACCGCCTGGGTCCCTTCCTCCGAGGCATCTGCTACTCCCTCCGCCGTTCCCACCACCTCCGTGCCCGGCCAGTTCTTCGAGCCCGGCAACTCGCCCTCTTACACCACATTGTCCACCTCGACCAAGGCCGCCGCACCCGTTGTTCAGGAATCCATTCAGCAGGCTCCCGTCGTCTCGTCCAGCAGCTCCACCCCTGCTCCCGCTCCCCAGACCCCGACTCCTCAACCCGCTCCTCAGCCGACCACCACCTCTGTCTACATCGCTCCCGTCGTCGTTCCCACCACCCCTGCCTACGTTGCTCCTGTTGTCGCGACCACCAGCACTCCTCAGGGCCAGGCCCAAGCCACCAGCGGCAGCAGCAGCGGCGGCAGCAGCAGTGGCGGTGGCTCTTCTTACAGCGGTAAGCTGACCTACTATGCCATCGGCCTGGGTGCTTGCGGTGAGGACGACAGCGGCAAGGACAAGACCGAGAACATCGTTGCTCTCTCGGTTCTCATGATGGGCTCGGTTTCCAACGGAAACTCTTACTGCGGCAAGAAGATCCAGATCTCCGCCAACGGCAAGACCACCACCGCCACCGTTCGCGACAAGTGCATGGGCTGCTCTCACGATGCCATCGACGTCAGCGAGAAGGCCTTCCTCGAGATCTTCGACAGCCTCGATGTCGGTGCCGGTACCGTCGACTGGAAGTTCATCAACTAAGCTTGACGTTCAAAACGCTTGCTTATTCCTCTCTTCCATTCCAGTCTCAGCACGGCCGTCAGGGGTTCTTTCTCTTCTCTTTGGGGTGCGCTTTCCTAGCGAGGGCTTCGCACCGATCAGGTTCACCTCATTCACAAGAAATGATTGGCTTCAAACTTCCGTGGGCCAGTCATTTTTTTTTTTTTTTTCTCTCTGATCAAATCTCAAATAACAAACATTTGGTTACATATACCCCTCCTTTTCCTGGTCAGTCACAAGGGACGGCGCCTGGTTCAACAGCACGGGAACTGGATTGGATTAACAAAAGGACAAACATCAAGACCTGGCACGCCGGTCTTGAATGACGTGATGACGATATCTCTATACCTGCGGATGCGAAATTCCTCCCATGCTTACGGGAGGTGTTGGGCAATCTGGGGGCGGACATCTGGTGTTTCTGTTTATGTGGACATTCTTACCATCGGGTCGGCTTATAGAAGTTACTATTCAAATGTATATATCTATTAGGGGCGTGTAAGGGAGCGTGTGCATTCGCGCTTCCCATCCTTCCCCGGATGTGGGTTATTGGCAAACCACTGCCAAAAAGGAAGAAAGAAATATCAAAAAACCAAAAAGTTGAGACTTCAAAATGTCCCTTTCTCCGTGCCGCAGTCCCAGTCGGCCGAGTCTCCTTTGGGGAAAAAAAATGTGATCACCGCTAGACTTGCCGGTAGCAGGCGGCCAACCATGTAATCAGTCATCGGCACGCGGAATGTTAATGAGAATGACGATGGAGGGGTGATGAAATCCCCTCCCCCACGGGCTCGAGCACGACATTCCAAGCAGCGATGATGGTTGACGTTCAGAGAGAGGGTAATGTAATAAGCTGCTGGCCTGGCCCGAGAGACATTCTGAACCACCACCTGTTACCGTGGCGGCCGCGGCGTCTAGCGCTCTGGGGGAGGGGCAAAACGAAAGAATGCCAAACTGCCTTGTCCATATCCATATGTTGTATGTCTCGCACCGCAACGATCCGATCGTGTCAGCTGAGGAGAGGGCGGAACATTCCACTCTCTCCGGGTCGGGGAGGCGCGGAGGAGGCCTCGGAGGGAGGAGTCTCGGCCCAATCTATAGTTCCAAGACATGACCGAGGCCTCGGTGGTCTGTAGTCACATCACCCTAACTGCCTTCGTGTTCAATATCATTCCGATGGTTCTATTAAACTTTCGTGACTCTAAGGACATGATTCGTTCAGGGTCGTTTGGTTTCCTTCTCGCCACCAGCTGAACTCAACCCCTCCACTCGTATCAACAACACGAGATACTGACCCATCGTCAAGACAACCGAGCGCTCCAGAATGACGCGACCAGCGCCTCCTACAGCAAGAACATGTCCAGGTCGTCCATCTCCTTGATGCTAGGCATAGCCTGGGCCCGTCGCGCCCTCTCCTCCCCGACCACGAAATCTCCAGGCACTTGGATCCCGTTCTCCGCCCCGGCCATCATGCCGGCCACGGCTCGCCCGCAGAGCGCGGCTTGGGGCATCCCGTGTCCGGTGTACCCAGCACAAACCCACAGCCCGGCCCCGCCGCCAAGCACATCGCCTGCCGGGATCTCGCCGACCCACGGCCGCCCGTCACGCGAGAAGGCCATGATGCCCGTCCACTCGTAACTCGCTTTGAGCTCTTCCGGGTCCGCCGGCTGCTTACCGTCGTCCCGGAGGTCGATGTTCTTGGCCCCCGCTCGCCGCAGGTACGACGCAACGACCGGGTCGACCTCGTCATCGTCCGAGATACCCACTCCTCTGGCCGTACCGTTCGCTCTCCCGCCGCCTAGAATCATCTCCAACCCAGGGGATGGTCGTTGGATGAGGTAGTCGTCCTGGTTTGGCGACGACCCCGAGGAGCTGGCCATGAAGACGTAGCTCCGCTCTATCTGAGCGCGCGGTTCCGGCAGCAGCGCGGCGACCTGACCACGCACCGGCACGATGAGGTCCGAAAAGGCCGGGAGAAGACGGCTGGTGTAGGCGTTGGAGCATAGCAGGACCTGCTTCGCGGCCACCTGTCCGCGTTCCGTGTGAACGATCCAAGATGCCCCATCGTCACCGGCGCAATCCAGGCGTTGGAGACGGGTGACGGGCGTGTTGGTCTGCAGGTTGAACCATCCGCTCTCGCCTGCAGACTGCTGCTGCCCTTCTCCAAACTTCGAGATGAGGGTCTCAAACACCCATGCGACAAGTTTGTACGGCCAGCAACTCGCCGCGTTCTCCTGCAGGACGGCGCCCGCGGCTCCTGGCACCCGTAGTGTCTTCAGCTCTTCCGCATCAGTGACGAGGCGAACGGCGCTCTTGAGGTGAGGTGGGAGGACAGCGATGGCGTCGGCGGCCTTGGCAACGAGGTCCGCGGTGAGAAGGGCATGGACGCCGCGGAGGGAGACCCAGTCGCAGGGGATGGCGTTGGCAACGACGAGGTCGCGGAGGTAGTTGTACGTCTGTAGCTCAAAGTCTGCTACGGCGGTGGAGGGACCATATACTACCGGTTGGCAGTGGCCGCCGTTCTGGCTGGGGTGTCAGTGGTGTCGTTATCGTAACGGTGGTTATGAGATGACATGATGAGGGGTCGAGATAAGCTATCGGAGCCCATCATCTTCGACGCCTGGCTGAGCACTTGCCAAACCTCGACTTCCCTCGTTGCACTTCGTGATACAAGACTGAGAAGACCTGAACACTCACCCGTCCCGTAGCTCCCCAGCAGACCTCCCTGGCCTCAAGCAACAACACCTTTCTACCCGCCCCGCCACTCCCCTCCTTCAGCTCTTTGGCGGCGAAAGCGCCCGTGATACCGCTGCCGACGACGACCACATCCGCGGTCGGAGGTAAGCTCTTAGTCGTGCGGTGGCCCAGGAGCGCTTCGGAAGGCTCGCGGTGCCAGTATGAGCGAGTGCTCTTAGTCGAGGGGAGATCGGCCTGGCCCTCCCGCAGCGTTGCGCCCGTCATGGTGTCGGATGAGGAGTTAGTGTCTGAAGGTGATGAAAAGGCTTGATGATTCAGGGTATAGAGTTTAGATAAAGTGACTCGAGTTCTGCTGTTTAAATATGCTGCAAACGGGACTTTTGTGATGTTGGCCGCGTGGACGGTTGAGTCATGTGTTGAAGGATTGACGTTTGGTTGATGGCTGGCGCACGAGTGGACATGTGAGGTTTAGTCAACTATCACTCCCACTTGCACCGATGGAGCAGGTGCAACAGAGACATCACCAATCCACGTTGCAGAACGCGTCACTTTTGGCAGACCCACAAGAAACGGGTCTCGCACATCAGCAAGACTTTTGAGAACGATTCTGATTGACATTATGCCCAACTTTTGTACCAATTTTTGGAAAGAAAACGCCACTGTCTATGGGTGCCATCCATCCATCCATTGATTACCCGGAGCGTCGCAGCCTCGAGGCTGCACCGCACACTGCTGGCATGATCACACCTAAAAGCCAAGAGTACGCTAAAGGACGTAAATAGCGTAGAAGAAAATTTCTCCGACTCTTGCTGTCCAAGACTGAGCTCGCTTAACCCTGCATCTTTCTTCTCTTTCCGACCTGGGCGGAGAAACCGGTCTTGATGGCAGTGACGGAACGTCTGGAACCGCAAGAGTTACAGGTGATGAAGTACAGACGGTTCTCTCCCTTCGACAGCTCGGTGTCGGCAGATTTGCAGGTCTTGCAGGTGACGTATTCGACTGTGGAGGAAGTTGGTCAGCTTCCGCGTAAGACGCACAAAAGAGGCAAACTCACTAATGTACTTGCGCAACACGTTCTCGAGCTGCTTCTGCTGGAAACGACCCTTGATAACGAGACGTCTGCTTCCGTCAACGGAACCACTGGTACCCAACTCAGCAAACAGGTAAGCGGTCACGTGCTCCTCCGTTCTCTTCATGCGCTTGCAGATCTCGGCAATGTTGGCGAAGATGGTCTTCTTGTTGCCTTCGCGCATGCACTGCGGGGGAGGGATCTTGTAGCTCTTGGAGCCGCTCAGGGCGTGGTCGGGGTTCTTCTGGGACAGCTGGTGGAAGAAGCGGTTGAGCAGCAGGCTGTAGCTGAGGGCCTTGGTCTCGTCGTGCTGCCAGATGCCGGTGCCGGCGTCCATGTCACCCTCATCAGCCTCGCCAGCGGCGGGGGCCTCACCAGCTTCACCCTCCTTGCCCTCGAGATCCAGGGCCTTGAGCTTGGCAGCGAAGTCGTCCTCCTCACCCTCCTTGGGAACCTTCTTCTTCTTCTTCTTCTTCAGGGTCAGGTCCAGACCACCGTCTTCGCCAGCGGGGGCCTCCTCGGCATCATCGCCCTCCTTAGCGACCTTCTTCTTTTTCTTCTTCTTCATGGTAAGGTCGAGGCCACCGTCTTCGGTGGCATCGGGGACGGGGGTGGTCGCATCCTCGGCTCCGGCTTGAGAAGGGGCATCAGTATTGAAAGATTCAAGTGCTGCAGAAAGCGGCGGCGTACGAGGCGTGTGCGACTGGGCTGTCTCCTTGGGTTCGTCGGTAGCGTTGACCATTGTGACTGAGCCGTCGGCGTCGACTACTATTTGTTCTGTATCGAAAGCGACGGATTTACGCTGTTTGCGCTCGGGGAGAGGAGATGCCTGCAAAAATTGAATGTTAGATTTCAAAGAGGACGAGCAGAAATTTCGGGGATGAGCAGAGAATTAATCGGGGAGCAACAACGTCTTGGGTGGTGATGATATGATCGGTTTTATGGCGTCGAATTTGAGTCACGAAAAATGTCCTGTCTGTCCAGACCGTCTCTGACTCTGGTTGGGCAGTGGGGTAAAAGACGAATAGTTCTGGTGGAGGGGCCAATGGTGGTGGTGGGCAGTGGCAGAAGTGATGCGCCGTGCGCCGTGCGCCGTGCGTAGGGTGTAGTAGGAGGGGAGGGCTAACGAAAGGTGCGGTGCGTTACGGTAAGCAACGGAGGAAACTTACTTCGACGTCCGCCATGATTGCGGCCTGTGTCTCACTGAACGGGGTTCTCGGTTAGGTATCCTTGGTAAACGCTTCTAGCACAGTGGTCCGGGGGGTGTGGTTGAACAAGCGCTGATGGTCGAAAGGGTCAACGAAACAAGAACCTGGTGACCTGGGATATGGCGTCGAGTCGGTTTGTGCCGTTCGAAAATGGTTCGGTAATGGAAATTTGTGAGAGGGAAAGGAGAACTGCCTCGACTGCGGGTGGATGGGATTTCAAGGTGACGTGAGGGTGCTGGTCACTGGTCCAAAGTGGGAGACAAACCCCCTCCTCCCCCTCCAGTCACAGTGTCCGCCAGCTGTTGTGGTGCCCAGCGCCCGTCCGCAGTCACCCTTTGCAGCCTGTGACTCAGCGGTACATACGGTCATGTGACCTTGACGTCTGGTGTCTGACCGTTTCGATGGCGAAATTTGTACGGTAATGGCGCTGGGCTCAAGCGTAAAATCAGTCGGATCTGGCACAGATTGACTCTACATGGTTATTTTCTGACGCATATTAATATCGACGCCTCCACGAGTCGAATGCGGAAATTCGAATCAATAAAAATAAACGAAGTAGAAAGACTCAACCGTAACCGAAGCAGTGACTGATGGTTCGGTTCTCAGTCCTGAGGCTATTCCGTCTGCCCTCGTGGAATCGCACCCGGCCCCACTTCGTAGCATCCCCAGCCAATAAAACCCGAAATCGTCAACACCTGCTGCTGGCCGTCCCGGTGCCGTTTCTGGTAGGGGAACGGGGGATCAGAGAGCTCCAGGCGTCCGCACCTCCACAGCTGCACTGGCATCATCGGAGGCATCGCGGTCCCTTGGTTCAACCTCCCGCGAAGCTCCCACCTGGTAGATCGTCTAGTGTTCGATCTCGTTGATACGCATGCAGGATTCAGCCTGCCCTGCGACTCAATCGGCGTTGAACCCGAATCATCGATAGGCTTACTTGCCACTACCGCGTCTTGCCGCCTCGAAGCTCCAACAGCCGAGCGCCGAACAAACGTCCGACGTCCTATCTGCCCGCCAAACCTCTCTCTCTCCGGCATGATGCAGTCCACCGATTCTTTCGTCATCCACGACGACATCTCGCCCTCCTCTGACCTCGACGAGATCGATTCGCTGCCGTCAATATCTAGTAGTGTGCTCGACTCCGAAGACGACTCGGATGCGCAGGAGGAATGGGAGCGCAGCTTGGAGCAGATCCAGCTCTTGCTGACCATGGTCATCGTGCCGTTCGCCGGAAAGTACCTGGGTCGCAAATTTGCGTACTGGAGTAAGCTTCCCTAGAACGTGACGCTGGTCTCGCATGTGCTAACCGTGCTGGCACAGGTTGGTCAAGATATATGGAATGGATGCACAACGTCGAGGTGCGGTGGACAAACAAGGGCGCCTTCAAAGCTGCTGGTGTCGCTGAGGCTGCGGCTACTTTATAAGGAGCATGATAGTGGTTTTGATGGGTGACCTCGCAAGAGACGCCACGGAGCCCAGAAGTTGGTGTTGTGGCCCAAGGCGGCGGTTGTATACATATGGATGGCGTTGAGGACCGCCGTGATAGATCAAGGCGGCACATACAGAAGCAAGGCACAAGGCCTCGCTATGAAGATTTGCAATTCAATGATTTCAAGGTTAAATCCTCAACTCTGTGTAAGGGTGGAGTTCCCCGAGAGTCACATATCCGCGGGCCACATCCTGTCACGAAGGTCCAATTGACAACATCGCTCTTGCACGCAGTTACATACGGAGCTGGTGAAATAAAACTCGCATTCATTGGTATCAATCATTGTGATTCTGCTACACAAGATGGTGCTAAGCAGCCTTGCGGCTATTGCCTGAGCACCGTGGCACTTGGCCCCGCCGTATCCATAACCATATATCCATGTCATCCCATAACCCATATCCGGTCATTCATTACCACTATATGCCATCGTGAAAGGTAACATAAAACAACAGCATGCCGCCAACGCCGTCAGAACCCAACAGCTATTCAAGGACCAGTCGTGAATGCCGTATGTCTGACCCAGTGGCCGCACCCAAAGAACAAAAAGTCGGGTGATTGTTTTTCAAAAGCGTGTATCTTGTATGGTTGTCGGCGAAGCTTTAGGCTCCGACCTGGGCCATGGAGGGCCGAGAGCTGCGGATAGAGCCACCACCGCCACGACGGAAGTCCATGAAGGTAAAGAACGCTCCGGCACAAAAGCTGGCGAACAGAAACCACATGAAGACAGTGCTCGCTTGGATCTCGCGGCAGCGCTTCTGGTCGTCAGCGGAACCCCAGACGATATAGTCGCTTGGGTGATCGCGACCGTCGAGAGCGCCGCAGTTGACGACACGCAGTTTGGCGGACAAGACAATGCTGTCAATGAAGGTGAAAAGCAAGGCAGCCCCGTCGAGAGCCAACATGACCAGGGGAATGGCGATGCCGGTGATGAACGATGTAGCCAGGCCATAGAGAGCAGCCAACCAGCAGATGACAGCAACGAACATTGTGAAGTTGATCGCAGCCATGGCAGACCCGGCACCGTTAATGTTCAGGGCGATGACATTGCCGATCAATGCTGTGACGAGCAGGACCCAGAGGACCTGAACGCCTCGGATGGCGACCTTGAAGATTGATTCCATCATGTTGGATAAGTGTTGGACCGCGTCCGGTAACTTGGATGATCGGGATCGATGGGTTGTTGGTGAGTGGGTGCTAGGAGCAAGGACTACTAGAGCTATGTAAAATGACGTTGTCGTCGAGGGATTGTATGCGCGTGTAATTTGAAGCTGGCAGTAGTGGCGTGACCGGCGTCTGACGATGAGTGCTCACGGGATGATTTGCACAAACAAGCAATTGTTCATTGACTATGTCTGTGTGTGATGTGGAGGAAGACAAGAAGTCAATAGACGTGGAGCAAGATCTGGCAGGGTGGGCGTGGAACAAATAAGACTTGTCTGGGCTGTTCAGGCTGGTTGTCGGGTGAGTAGAGTCGCGGTGGAAGGAAGCGGCAGGAGGCAAGGGTATCTTTAATAACTGGGAAGGGACGGGAAGGGAAGGCAAGGGCGGGATGGAATGGACTCGACAAGTCGGCCGAGGAGGGGACTGCCTTCCAGAGCCGGACACCACCAATTCCCAGTCAGATCTAGCACTCATGGATGTACTGTGCAGTACTTCACTGGCTGACAGAGGTGCAGAGTCGCCCGACATGGGAAGAGAACCTTAGGGAGGGCACGGAGGGCCGGGACCTGACATGGACGGTGGACGCGCGGGAGCTGCACAGGCGCAGGCGTGACGGGTGAGAAGTTCGATGATTTCCATGGCGATCGGCAGTTGCGGGAACTATGACCTCACCAGCCAATACCTCTGCTCAGAACGCGCTTCTCTATTTTTTGTTGGCCTCGCAAGCTCGCAGGCGGCATTCTCTGCGCCCATCTTGGGTACGTACCGTTTCCATGTCTGGCCGAGCGCTCCCGCAGGCCCTAAGAGACGCCTCAAGACGTCCAATGGCATCATCCAAGGGTCCCAGAAGCCGCCAAAGCTGCCACTAAGGAGCTTGGACAAGACCGCGTTCAGCCCAACAGATGACTCGCCTGCCCGCGTCCGTCATTCACCTCCTCATTGACTCTCATCTGACTGCCAGACGTCGCTCTGAAACGCAGCCCTCCACGACACTTTGAGATCCGAGAAAATAAAGTCCCAAGACCAGTGGCGCGTGTCTGCTGGCGCCTCTCCCGACGTGGCCGAGAGTTCGAGATCCAGTCTGGTTGTGGCACTGTTTGCAGCTGCAGGGTTCTTCTCTCCGCGGGGACCTCATCCAAAGGTTTTTTTTTTTATCTTTGTTTTTTTCACATCGCTCCTTTCTGACCCTGCTGCGGCTTCTGGGCCCTGTCGAAGTTCCCTGCGTGGTGGGGTGATGCTGGTTGGCAGGTGAAGAGCCTCTCAGTCCCCCTCCATCTTCTTGGCCCTGTGTGGCCCTCCTCTTGCCTTCTTTGCCCCGCCTTGGCCCTTCCTGCTGGGTTGATCAGCTCGAGTTGCCCCTCCTTCCCCTGCAGCAAATCCCAACCCTCCCGGCGATTCGCTGCCACAAACACAATCTGGCCCAGCAACCCTGGAGGAAACATCCACTGCCACACACCTGCACCCCAGTCACGATCGCCCTCACCCTATCAAACCTTGAGCGCGGAGGTAATCGTGAAACAACGTGAGCCAGCATACCCGCGCCTGCGATTTGTCAACATCAAACTGACGCGTGCAAAAACAGACTTCACGCTTGCGATTCATTGAGGCAGGCGGGTAGATTTTTGCTGCGCCCTCAAAAGAAAGCTACAAAGAGGCAGCAACTCACCAATCCCATCGCTTCCTAGGCGAGCTGAAACCTTGCAAAGACCTCGAGAGCGGTTGCAAGTGAAGATACAGTAAGGACACTGCAGGACTACTGCACCTGTCATTTGCGTCCGGATTATTGATCATGACTGCAGGCCGCCGGCCGCAAGACCCTGGTGAACACAATGGCAGACGACACTGCCCAGTACCCCAGAGCAAGCCTCGGTGGCATTCCGCCTGAGTTATTCGACCTTATCATGTTCTATCTCATGCCCAATGTCCCCCCGACTGTTGTCATGAGACCCTTCGAAACCTCCTATGATATTCATACCAGCGCGGCGCAGTATGAAGAGTGGCAGTTGACCCGAGCCGACCTCGTTTCTCTTTACTGAACATCCAAAGGCATATCTCGAGCATCCGAGCCAGCTCTCTTCAAGAATGTTGCTCTTGCGAAGCCCTACCACCTTCGGCGCTTCATTCGTCTTCTGACCTGCCCAGCCAATCATGGCCTTGGAAATCATGTCCGAGCCCTCTACCTCCTCGGCGAGTTCCAGCTAGGACCACGAGTTCCCTACTTCCGCCTCTGGCGTCAGCTATACAACACCAGGACCCTCACAGACTTGGCCATCGTTCTCACACTTATACCCAATGTGGCTGAGTTCTTGATCACCTCTCCTAACGAGAAGTACTTCGAGCTGCTGATGCGGACGATGCGACATCAGATGGAGTACACTCATATGATGATTCCTTCCACCAAGGCACTCACGCAACCAGAATCTTACGGACTGAAGCTGCACAACATCGCATGTGAGGGAAAGACACCCCTAACTCTCACCCCCCTTTCCTTCGACTTGCCGTTTAGCTGCGTGCGCACCCTTCGACTCCGTCACGACTTCACTGACACTGATTCTGACATCGCCGGAGACTACTCGCTGCCTGAAGCTCACCGCCATCACTTTTCCTGCAACATCCCTACTTACCTTTCTCAGCTTCCCAACCTCGAGATCTTCGAGCTTCTCTCCGACGCGCCTTGGTGCTGGAGGCCTATCGACAAGCACAGGGATGACGTGAGTCCGCCGGATTACAGCGACATGCCTCGGATGAAGAAGATTGTTCTGCACCTTTCTTGCATCCAAGAGCCAGAGCTAGTCGGCCTTCTGCTGGCGTGTGCTAACCTGCAGGTGCTCACCGCATACTTCTCGAGGAACACCAACCCTCACCAGTTCCGACGTCTTCCTCAAGGTAAAGACGTGAACCAGGCCCTCCGAGGTCTCTCTGGTAGCTTGCGTCACCTGGAGCTTGTCGCCGCGAAACCTGGAAACTACTTGCCGTCATACCCAGAACGCCTCGCTGGCCAGAGGCGGAGACTTGACTGCCTTCCTCATCTCACCAATGTGAAGACTCTCGTCGTTGACTTTACAGGTCTGTTCGGACTCTGCGACTTTATCAATGAGAATGACGTGCTCGACCTTCGCAATCGCTTTCCCCCTAACGTCCAAGACTTGACGATCGGGTGCAGATGGCATTCAAACCCCCCGATTCGAATGGCGGTTGACTACGATGATGAGTTGCGGGTTGTCAGTGCTTTGGCAGATTGTTATAACACCACTCTTTACAAACTTCGACGACTAACACTGGATATTCCCACGACTTGCTCCATTCTGGAGCCGCCCTGTCCGCGGATATTCCTTTCGCACCCCATGACCCCAATGGTAGCATCTCGTCCACTGGCGTACCTGATGGACTGTGGCATCGACGTCAGCTTCCACAACATTTGGCGCCAGTTCGAGTACCAGGGCCAGCTCTTTGAGAATTCTGCAACTGACCGACAGATAGAGCGCGTAAACAATAGGTTCACGGAGGAGCATCGGCGCCGGAGGCTCCTTCGGACGGGCGTGAAGGCCCCGTGGTACCTCCCCAAAGAAGACTACGACGCCCTACTGGCCAAGATCATGTTTGGCTAGGGCCGTCATCCAACAAGGTTGGCGAAGCACGATAAATTGACGTGCCACATGCGGACCACTAACGCGGGACGCCAAACAAGTAGCCATGGCGTCATTGTCGTGGACTTTTGCTATACACTACTGCGGGAGTGGCCACCTCGACTTCTCTAGCTTGAAGCTGCGGTCTTTTACCCACTACTTACCACACCAGCTTGACGGATGCTACAATCAGGACCGGCCCTTTCGGGTAGGGGAAACTGGATCACATCAAAAAATCGGATGCGTCATGATGACACGAGGATATGACGGACTGTTGGAATACATGTTTGGAGAATTGGATCGATCATTTGCATTAGCTTTTCATCAGGGAATCACAGGAAAGGACAATGGGTCTTTTCAGGAGGTCAAAAAGAGACGATTCATTGGCATTGGGTCTTTCCAGAGCTTGGAGGAAGAGACGAACGGATTTGCATCACAAGGAACAACGAAAAGAGCTCATGGATTAACAAGGAAAAGTCCCACGATATCTACCGTGTCTGCAATGAGAACAATGAATGAGTAACTCTGCTCTGTAATGCTGTCTACTTCTCCTTCCTCTCATTCGTTCCTATCCTTTACTTTCCCCCGCAGTTGGAGATCTACCGGCTAAAGTTCAACAAGCCTTCGATATACTTGCGGGTATCGATGCCAATCCCCGACGCAAGACGGCCCGCGCCGTCCCCCCACCCCGTTCCGCCCTCGGCGAAGGACGAGCTCACGCCACGGTAGCCAGCATGGTCGCTGGCTCTGCGGATCAGAAAGATCTCTTTGCTGACCTTTGGGGGTGCCGACAAAGTCTTCTTGGGCACCGCCGTGTCCAAACCAGTTCCGCTTGTCGGCGAGAAATCGTCAGTCTCTGACACTTGCTGGCCCTGCTGCCCCTCATCGGCCTCTGATGTCGATTCGGCGGCCGCCGGACGTTCGAGGATGCGTGACCAAACCACCCACCACCCACGGTTGGTCTTGCAAGTGCGCTCGAGCTCGTTTATCTCGGACCGTGTGATGTTGAAAAGATTCAGTAGCTGCATGTGCGTGTTCATGGCCTCAACGCGCGACCAAGCCGGTTGCGCGTTCGGTTTGGACATCTGAGTGTGGTCTGGGATGTTGGGTATCGATGAGTGCACCGTCATGGCCTGCGCGTCCCACACAAGGTCGTAGATACTGCCAGTCGCAGAGCCGATATTTGGCCGTTCGGGTCGATATTGTATCGACGATAGAAGAGGCTTGCGAAGAGGCAGGAGCTGGTGGTGCAGGGATCTGTAGAACGAGTTCAAAGCCAACGAGTCGGTCCTCAACTCAAACAAGAAGGTGAAGATGAAGGGCTTGCTGATGTAAACAATGACACGCAGCTTGCTCGCCTTATTAGAGTCTTGGTTTCCAAACAACGGGTTAGTGTTCACAGCGTTGGCACCGAGAGGCGTGATTTCGTTCGTGAGGCTTCCGAGGTCCTTAGTAAAGGCCGCCTCCGCCCGATCCTTGCCTGTCTTTTCAAGCTCGATGTGGACGGTGCGAAGCATTGTACGGGAATTTGACTCGACAGCATCCGGATTCTCTGCAACAATGCTCTGCTCACCGTCGCCGCTGTCCTCAATGTCACCCATTAACCCAATAAGAAAGTGCCCGGCGTCGTCGTCCATGACCTTGGGTTTCGGTGCTTTGCCGAAGGGATTTTTGGAAGTCTCCCCACTCTGGTGTGCTGCGAGGGCGGATAGTTCGTCCTTGACCGTGGACGAGGAGGCGTCAGATTTGCCGATGGACCAGTACGTGCCGTAACCCAGCTTCATGACTGTCATCAGCTTGTCCAGATGCCCATCGCCTTCCTCCTGCAACGGCGCAGGGGCGTCGTCTTTGCTAGATCCGGGTCGCTTGGCCTCCTCTACGGTGCCTATTTCCTGACCTCGCCTTTCTGCAAGCGTCATCGTAGACCTTGAGCTTCCCCCAGACCCGGAGCCGGAGTCTGACCGGTTGGTATTCGGACGGGCGGGCGGCCGCACGGGCGCTGGCGCCGCTGGAGCTGGAGCTGGAGCTGGAGCTGGAGCAGCCTTCGTTTCTGTTTGCGATACCGATGGTTGCTTCGTCCTTCGAGAGCGACGAACAGCTGTCGGGCTATCAATGACACCGTAGGCATTTTCACCCCAGGTGTAAAGATCCTCCATCCAATGTGCCACATCCCGCACGGATTTCCGAGACAAAGCGCCCGTCCCCAGGAAGATGGCGCCGTCCTCGGGGCCGGGGTCTTGCCCAGTACCCAACCACGAGCTTCTGTGATCCTTTCCATCCTTGGCTCCGCCATCGGCATCAACAGACCCAAACTTGGAGACTACAAGATCAACGAGGCCATCTATTCTCCCAACGAGGCCTTCTAGCACCTCCCGCTCTCCGCTACCCCGCTCCTCTTCGCCAACGCCAATGCCTAGTTCGCCGGATGCGGCGACGTTGATGCCGGCGAAGATTGTGCGTGCCGGGTTGCCCTGCAGCATTACATTCCAAGTCGACAGAAAAAGATCCCAGTAACGACCAAGGAGACTGAGAAACCTGGGTCTACGGGAACGCACAAACAGAGCGCTGAGCGAGGTTCCGTGGTGTAGCAGGAAGGTGGAGTGAGCGCGCAGTAAGTCTTGCAACAGAAGAGTAGCGGGCTTGATCTCCTTAGATGAATACTCGACCACCTCCTCTGGGGTTTCGTTCGTCTTGCCCAGATGCAGCTTAGGCGGCAAAGGGATGCGGGTTAGATCGATAGACTGCGAGACGTCAGAAAGTGAAGGGAGATGCAATTCTGCGATAAGGCAGGCGTACAGCAAGAATCCACCAACCTGACTCCAGCTCGTGGAGGACGACGCGGGATTTCTCCGTGTCTATAGAATCGACGGGCTGGCCGCCAGAAAAGCTCTTGCTGAACTCTACCATGCCCTGGGCGAGGCCGATCTGACGAAGTCGCTCATTGTGTTCCTCTTGAGAGATGTTCTCAGTGGGTTTGCTACGAGATCGATGGCGGCGTTTCTGCCTCTGAGTGCTCACGGAGGCGTAGTATACTATCTGGTCGTCAAGTGTGTCGTCCGTGTTCCCCAAGGACGGGTTAAAGATGGCGAGGAAGCCCAGCTGGGCCGGAACGATCCCACCCGGTGACGATGCCATGGTGGACGTAGCTGCGGATAAGGTGGCTGTCAACTGCAACTGGTGATGGCAGCTTCGTCGAATGACTCTGACGGGCCAGCCGCTCTAAAAAGCGTTGCCAGGCGCAGATGGCAGACGCGGACCAAAGGTGCGATGTGTGAGAGACGGCACGGAAGGTGTGAGTGAGGTGAAAGGTGAGAATGGCCCGGAGAAGCGTGGACGGTGACTGCGATGGGCGGCAGCAGCGGCAGCAGGGAGCTCCCAGGCGGTCCACGCAAGCGCGCAGCAGTGCCCTCGGGTTTGGCGATGGTGATGGTCTAGGCGTAGGACATGCGGTTCGGGTTGGAGTCTGGCCGGGCGGAAGGTCGGGTTGGCAGAATGGAACCTTGCTAGGTTGATAAGTAATTGGGTTGATGTTCAGCTGAGATCCGAATCTCGATCCTCCCCCACGATGCAGGGCAAGGCCGTGTGGTGTGGCGCCAGCACCAGGAGAAGCGAGGCGGATGGGAAGTGCTTGAATGCTTGGGTGCTCTGGTGGAGGCCCGACAACCCTGCAAATTGGGATTGGCCCATGGCCCAGACCGCCATGGGCCTCGCTGTCTGCCCTTTAGCACAACGTACTTAGCACCACCACACAGGTACTTAGCAGTGCTATTTGCTGCAGGACATGCCCGGAGGCTCGTCCGACATTGGACAAGTGAGGGGCTGTGAGCTGCTGTCACTGGTTGAGCTGGGAGGCTACCTGTTTGGATTTGCAGCGTTGTGCGACACCAGACGGGACGAATAGTGCCTGTGCCTACCTATCCATGTCTGCCGGCCCAAGAGCGAATAGAATGCCACTTTTGCACCGGATGTTGCCCGGTCTCTGAGGTCTCGTGTTTGGCTGGCATGGCAGGCTAGTCGTCGACCCCGGGTACTCGATCCATTGTGGGCAGGTTGCAGAGGACCGAGGTAGACTACCCAAGAGCCTTCCCCCTTCTTGCGGGCTGTCTTATTACAATGTCCTCAGGTACTTTAGGAACCTTACACCGAACGGAAGGTGGCGGGCGGAGTGACAGCCCGCTGTGCGCGTCTCGCTAGCGTAGCGCCAGCCAAAGTCCTTCACGTTCTGTGATCAATTCGGTTTCAGCGGCGGTCAAGCATGGGAAAAAGTCTGGACTGGCCCAAATGGCAATCTGCCTCCCTTCAACACCTAACCGGCACCAGAGATTGCCCAGGGTAACAACGGCACGCAACACCCCTCGTCGGAAAAGAATGCCATGGTGTGCCCATCAGCAATTCGTAATCCGCATTCACAGTTCGTGGCCCGCCCACACACCTAGAGAAGCAGAACCCAGGCTTATCCCGCAGACTATCTATTCCCCCCTGTCGAAACTGGAAGAACGTGAAAGCCATTTCAAAGCGTGGCATCTACCTGAGCCAATCATCGGCTTTTCCCTCAGCTACATCTGCCCAAAATCACGATCCATTCTGCTACCAGTACCACGGCACTTCTTCCGTCCCCGCCTCCTATGCCATGTGGCTTACTGCCACCACTAGTGGCCTCATTGCGCCAATTTTGAGCGAGGAGGCTTGCCATCTCCGTTGTTAAAAACAAGCAATTTGTCAACCAGATCAGCCAGTAGATGCACCTGCCACGCGAGGAATCGCTCTTCGACTAGGAGCAGTTATATATTCGTACTCGCTTATGTTATACACTTATTACCGTCGTGGAAATATCCCGGAACAGCTTCAATGACTAGATGTCCATATCTGGCATATTTGAGATGCTCTGGCTTAAGTCGATGGTGATCATCTCTTTAACCTTGCCACACTCGGCTCAGAGTCGAATAAGAGAAATGACTCAACCAAATAACGAGGAAAGCGAG